GGACGATTTTAACTGCTGAAGTGAGACAGGCTGAGGTCAGAAAAGAAGTAGAAGAAATTATTAACTTATATTTAACACATTAAAACAGCTGTAAACAAACAATGTCATTCCTTCTAATGTGAGTCTGTAGAGAGAAATCATTTCCCCAACCTATCCAGAGAAGGACTATGCTTTGGGCTTAGTGACCTGACCTGGTCACTGGGGAGGACAAGCATTTTCAGCTTCAGCTTAATGCACTGGTAGTTTTTCACTTTGAGAGGCAGCCAGTGATATCTCGTTTATATGACAGCAGAAATGCACTTAAAGCTACTTTCTTTGTAGCTGGTCTTGTCCTGCAGTTCACCAGGAACTATTCTAGGGCAAACCATCAACCTGGAACACAATGTACCCGACACATTCACAGACATCGTCTCTACAAAGAGCTGGGCATTTAACAATTAAATTTAATATCATGTCTGTGAATACACAACACATGCATTATTTCCTGTTAAGAGATTTTATGAATCATTATCCCACAATACAATAAATATTTGGAAAAATAAATCCAACTGCTCTATATTCTCATATCATTGAAGAAATACAAAAATATATATATGTGATTCAAATAAATAATTTTCACATATAAAACAACTTATTAAAAACATGTAGTTGTCTTCTGTGAAATAAAAACTGAAAAATGTTGTCGCAAGTGTGCAACAGACAGGCTCTGATACAGGGATATGATTTGTGTTGTTCCTTAAAAAAATATTTTTACACTGTAAAAATCCCGTATGTATTTCAGGAATTAAATCAAAGAATTAAAATTTTACTTTTACAGGATAGTAAAGAACATCTGTTCCTTTAAAATAAAATAAAATGTAATAAAAACTAAATCTAGTATCAAAAAAAGTGTCTTTAAGACTATTTCATTATCTGAGGACGTAAATTTTACACCATGTTTGACATTGCAAAGGATTTAGACTTCTTCATTTAAATTGTGATACTTAATGAATATTTGCAAGTGTTCAGCTCAGAACAATTATTTAGTTAAACCTATAAAAGTAGAAGAAATGAGCCATTTGAATTATACAAACTAAATATTTTAATATTTTGAAGCACATAATGCACTACGAGCTTTAATTTGACATGGACAAACTCAAGAGGTCTACTTTGTTAAAAACTAATTCTTTTTTTTTTCTAAAGAAATGTAAATGTATTTTTCTTTTCTGAAAAGAAGAGGATTTTAAAAGGGGCAAAAAGACCTAACCTTGGGCTGACAAAGACATGTGTGAACCGAGCATACAGCAAAGAACCTTCCGGAGAAAGACGGTGAGACAAAAAAGGTTTAAAAAGGTACAACATACTAAATGAAAAGGAGGAAAAGGGAGAAAAAAGGGCAGTCAGGTGAGAAAGAGGGACACCAAATGGAGTTTAAGGAAACGGCTTCATTTCTGTGTTGAACAAAAAGGTCACAGACTGTTTTTTTTTCTTCCACAGGAGCCCCGAGAGACACTGAAACACACACACCTGTCCCTGAGGAAAAGATCGATAGACACACGCACACACACACACAGATACCACCGCGAAGAGACAATCCGCTCGATACACACTCACACATATACACCACCGTGGGCAGAGGTACCGATCAATAAACACACACGTACAGGTGTCACCACTACTATATAAAGAGAGGCCAATCAATGCTCACACACCGATATACCTGTACCAATCAGCTGCTGTGTGCTCACATTCACTCTCTCTGCTCGCTCCTCTCTCTTTCACCCTTTTTAATACACTCAGCCCTCCTGGTTTCTCTTTCTCTCTAACCTCCCATCCTTCTGAATCTTTTACAACACTCATCCCTCTCTCCCCCACCCTTTCCAGCTATCTCTGTCTTCCACTCTCTGGTCCATACAGAGAGATTTTCTCCTATGTAGGTGAATCATGTTGAATCTAATGTGATATGGCCCCCTCTTGCTCCGATACACCACATACAGCTGGCAAAAAACACACCAGAAAAGGCTCACAGAACCTTAATTAGTGATAAGGATTTGACCCACATTCAGAGGTTTAACTATAAAAAAAAAAAAAAAAAGGGAAAATTCTCAAATATTCTTGCCAGGTTACAGACAGACTACACTTCCAGCAGCAGCCAGGGGGTGGCGCTCTGGTCTTAACTCAGCACTGTATGATCCTGACAACGCTAACAGGAGGAAAAAGTCACTGTGCGTGTTGTATGCATAAACACACGTATTTATGCATGATCTTTACATGCATTAATGCAGCCTATGTAAGGACAGCAGGTCGTTCAACTTGCTCTGCCTCTCCTGCCCCTTCCTGATTTTTCTCCATCCATCCCCCCCCCCCCC